CCCGAAATTAAAAGATGCCTGCTTCTTGGGAGGAAAGTGATGGCAAACCTAGACAGCATCTTAAAAAGCAGAGACATCACCTTGCCGACAAAGGTCTGCATAGTCAAAGCTACGGTTTTTCCAGCAGCGATGTATGGAAATGAGAGCTGGACCATAAACAGGCTGACTGCCGAAGAATTGATGCTTTTGAATTGTGGTGCTGGAGGAGGCTCTTGAGAGTCCCCTGGACTGCAAGGAGTACAAACCTATCCATTCTGGAGGTGATCAACCCTGAGTGCTCACTGGAAGGACAGATCCTGAAGCTGAGGCTCCAATACTTTGGCCACCTCATGAGAAGAGAGGACTCCCTGGAAAAGTCCCTGATGTTGGGAAAGTGTGAAGGCAAGAGGAGAAGGGGATGGCAGAGGACGAGATGGCTGGACAGTGTCATTGAAGCTACCAACATGAATTTGACCCATCTCCGGGAGGCAGTGGAAGACAGGAGGGACTGGCGTGCTCAGGTCCATGGGGTCACGAAGAGTCGGACACGACTTAACGACTAAACAACAACAACATAAGTTAGTAATGCATAGGTCTAAAGCCAGTTATTATCTCAGACATATTCAAACAGGTTTCACAGGTGTCTGTATGTAAATTTCTATTCTGTCACTGTTTATTCATTTTGGTGTTCTAAACTGAAAAGCTGCAAGCAGTTCAGTTCTTTCTCTAGGAAGGGGATATACCACCACTTTCCCTGTGTCTCTGTTCCTGCTCCATACATTCTGTGGTATTGTTTATGAGACAGAATTGCCACATGAGTCTCTATGTTTTCAATGCTAACCTTATCCAAGTAGTTTCTAATGTGGAATTTGTCTTATTTACTTGCCATCACACAGAGTTTGACAGTTTCACACATTAAAGAACTTTTCTGCAAAGATGGTGGTTTATGTGGTTGCTTTGCCTTTGCTCAGACAGAATGGCATGTGATGAGACTCCAAACTTTGATTCCCAGTGTATTCGCGAAGGCTTTCATGGGCAGGATATGATGGTTGTTGTGGGTTTTTCAGGCTCTTTGGCCGTGTTCTGAAGGTTGTTCTTCCTGACATTTTGCCAGTCTCTGTGGCCGGCATCTTCAGAGGACTGGAGTAGGAAGATGCCAGCCATAGAGACTGGCGAAACATTAGGAAGAACAACCTTCAGAACATGGCCAAAGAGCCCAAAAAACCCACAACAACCGTTTGATCCCAGTATTTACTCCATCACCAAATAAAGGCACAGTATCAGCCCATTTAGAGTCTCCATATGGATGGAATGACATCACTTGTTTCTGGACTGCTGTTCCTGTCAAGCAGGAGACACCACTTTATTAGTGTGCCAGTTGCAGGGTGGTAGGGGAAGATGTTAGGGAAAGGAGTGGATTTTTGTTGTTGTTAAGGAAGTTCTGTCACTAGCCCAAATTCAATACCAGTGTTACAGTATCCTGTTTCATTACTTTGGTTAGGTGGTGTGAAATCAAAGATGTGTGCTCCCACAGCAAAGGCTATGCAGTCCCCTTATTGATAGGAAAAAATAATCATCTTTTCTTCTTAATCATTTCACTTTCTTCTCTGCCTAAAGCCACTGAATGCAGATAAAGATTCTTCCCTGGTCACACTTTGCTATGGTCTTTGTGTCCTTGGCCGGAGAGCTTTGGGGACTGCTTCCCATCATATGTCTAGGTAATGTACATTTCTTATTTCTGAACTTGAGAGGTCATTTAAATCATGCAGTTTCATAGTACTTTGCTATCCTTATGATTTCAGTATGCAAACATGTGTCCAAATTACTTATGTATCTTATACGTTTCTGCAGAGAAACATTATAAAGGAAATGACTGATTCAGACATAGGGTTAAAAGGAAATAATGAACTTAGTCTCTTTTCTAGTAATTGCACACAAAATTTTTCCAGTTCTTGGATAGGATCACAGGCATAGTCTGTCTGCACCAATTTGAAGAGACTGACTTTCCAGTGGAAAAAATCATCTGCTTCAAATCAGTGACAGCATAAAATAATGACATTGTGACCCTAAATTCTGTCAGTCTCAAATATGTAGTAAATTTATAACGCCTGTCAACCACCAAGGAATGAGAGGATGGTAAGGCATCAGCAGGCTGAAATTCCAGATTACCTTTACAAAAACAGAATGTACCATGTAAGAATTTGAGAGGGAAATGAATATGAGATGGTCCAAGGTTTAGAACAGAAATTAGAAGAAAATGGCTGTTTTCACTCAGATAATTATGGTGTTCATTATAGAAAAAATCCTAGCTGCAACTCTAGTTGTCGCCATCATCCACCTGAAGGATTTAAGCTGTTATGTTCATGGATATATGAGGATAATTAATAGCCCATGAGCATTTCAAAACCAGGCCTTCAAACAGACATTTTAAGATTTTAAAAATCACTATTGTTGTTTTAGTTCTCATATAAGTTTGCATATAATGGTAGTTCCAATCTGCACTGGCTATTTTTAAGCATAGAATTGGATATTTTAAGAGTTCTGCTAATATAGGTGATACAATATTTGTGTTAATGTTTTGGCTTTCTCTTCCTGCTGAACAGTAATCTGGAATCCTTCCTCTATGGACTTCATGCCTTGTTTAAAGGAGATTTTCGTATCTCGTCCATTCGAGATGAATGGATCTTTGCAGACATGGAATTGCTGAGGAAAGTTGTGGTCCCTGGAATTCGTATGTCATTAAAATTGCATCAGGTATAAAGACTGTTTATATATGTATGCGTCAGAAATAGAAGTGAAGGTTAGTTTAGCTTAAGTTGCCTGCAGGTGCTTTGTTGCACTTCAGTTATATTATACAGAGATTTGAGTCTTGTAAAGCTCTTGCACTAGGTCCAAAAAAAAGGAGATAGAACATTTGTAGTTATGTACAAAGACTATTTTTAATGGAAAAAGTCAGCCTACTCAAGAATTGACTCTGTACTTTGGTAAAAGTAATCTTTAGTTCATATGTTATGTATGTAAACACATCGCTTACTTACGGCTTTTTGAAAGTACTGTTTTTTGCCAGCTTGCATGGATAAGTTTATCCAAATACTTCTTTCCCTTCCTGAAAAAGCCTAGCTTTGGAATCTTAATTTTACTGAAGTGGGTCAATCTTCAGAACTATTTTCATAACTAAATGTTTTGGGGAAATTTCTAACTAGCCATATTTCTTTCATGTAGATAGCGATCTCTGCAGCATTTAACCCTTCCAAGATTGTTCATCACTGCTGCTCAAAATAATTCGGTGTACATGGAAATCACTTTAAAACATTTTTGGGGGATTGGCAGTCCCCTAGCTGTGATTGCATAATGTTAGTAGATGTTAAAATGTAGTGCACTTCGTTTCGCAATGATGATCTGTTTGAACAATGTTTTCACTCCTCTGTTTAGGACCATTTCACTTCACCAGATGAATATGATGACCCTGCTGTTCTTTATGAAGCAATCACATCCCACGAACAAAATCTGGTTATAGCTCATGAGGGTGACCCTGCTTGGAGAAGTGCTGTCCTTTCCAATTCTCCATCTCTGCTGGCCCTTCGCCATGTGATGGACGATGGTACCAATGAGTACAAAATCATTATGCTGAATAAGCGCTATTTAATCTTCAGAGTCATTAAAGTAAGTCTACTTTTTGTGGAGTGGGAGGCACAAAGCTTTCCAGGGTGGCTTGCAGTAAATCTGAAGGCTTTCCCACATACAATGGTGGTGGTGTTTGAGATTTTGTTTTAACAACTGTATTCATGCCAGTTGTGAAGTACGTTCTTGGTGTTAATGTATTTGGCCTTTTAGTGCCACTGTATGCAAGTGTTTTTAATAAAATGAAATGGGGAAAGGCTTGGTTTATAGTTCTTGAAGCAGGATAGGGAAACTACACAGTTCTCTCAGTGTAAAACTTTTAACATTACGATCCTAACCATGCTTATTCATAAGTCTGCTTAGGATTGCATCTTAAAAGAAGGTAAGTTGCCCTCACTTAGACAGGTTGCTATTATTGTTATTTCTTGCAGTTTGTTTGTGGCTCTCCTTTTAAATAACTTGTGAGTTTGTAGGTTTAGTTTGGCATGGGCAGCTACACAGGGTCCAAAGCTGGTAGAAAATGGGCCTGGTGCAGCTCCCTCTTTTTCCATTGCCCACATATTTTTTCTACATGCTAATCTCAAACTTCTTTTCAAAGCCAGAAACAACGGAAATGCCTGCCGTTTTTGGGGGGAAAGTTTATTTGTCCTTCCCAAAATGGTCAAACCCCACCACCACCATCACCAGTGTCATTGAAATGAACAGTTACACTCATTGGAGACTTCTGGGAACCTGCATAGGTCAAACCCTTGTTTTAGTTGGTGAATCTGGCAGTGAAGATTCGATCTCATAACTTTCAAGTAATTGTAGAACCAGTGACTGAAATCTAATAGTAAGCCACAACTGGAATAGGCTCATTGTATTTTTGAGGATCTGATGAATCAACACCTATGTGAGTTCTGTTGATTCATTAGCCTTACTATTGGATTTTTGCCATTATGTACAAAATCTGAGGATACTTGCTGGATAGTAGCCTGTTTTGTTTTCTGTTTCATGTTGAGGTGCTTTTTTATGCGACTTACCTTTTGGATTTTACAGGTAAATAAGGAATGTGTGCGTGGCCTTTGGGCTGGACAGCAACAAGAGTTGGTCTTCTTGCGCAATCGAAACCCAGAAAGAGGAAGTATCCAAAATGCAAAGCAAGCTTTGAGGAACATGATAAACTCATCATGTGATCAACCCATTGGATACCCAATTTATGTCTCTCCTCTGACAACTTCCTATTCAGATAGTCATGAGCAGCTCAGAGAGATTCTTGGAGGTGCCATTAGCCTGGGAAATATCAGAAACTTCATAGTATCTACATGGCACAGGTGAGCTGCTAAAGAGATTTCCAGAGGTCATTCACTAACATCACTGGGTTTCCTCACAGCTATCTTAAGCATATCTTACATTACAAGGGTTTTTATGCTTGCTTACTTTCCTTTATGTAACAAATGCAGGATAGTTTTTGAGATGCAAAATGCTCGTTCCAGTTGCAGTGTCAATTTGTATTTCATATTAAGCCTGCTGATTGTGCCCAGAGGTCGTGTGCTATGCAAAATCAGTTCATCATAAAATGCACATATTTTTCTCAGGATCCAGTGAGGCTCTGGAGCATGCTCAGAACTGCATAAGTAGATTCCTTGAAATCAGTGACAAGTGAAGTGAATTCATGACAAGTAATTTTTCCAGTTGTGTGAAATCCTTCTTTATAGCTCTTTCATAGCACATTATGCTAATTGTTTCAAAATATCATACTGTGTTTATCACATATACCCATATACTTTCTCTCTTCATTGCATTTCCGATTTATTTCGAATTTATAGCATTTCTGTGCTTAGATTCTGTAATGTATGTTTCAATGTTGTCAGGTTATGCAACTTGGTGTCCTTACAACAGCAGTGTAACTTGTACTTCAATATAATGGAAGTGGATTTTAGTGGAGGAGGAAAGTATTCAAAATAGTGACATCAGGACCCAGACCATGTGTTGTGGGATGGTTTTGGCTGGAATGGCTCTTTCTATACAGTTTTGTAAGGCTTCTTTCAGAAGAGGTACTTACTTCTCTTTGTCTGTCTTTATGTTTCTATCATATTCAGGTTAAGAAAAGGCTGTGGTGCCGGCTGCAACAGTGGAGGGAACATTGAAGATTCAGATGCTGGAGGAGGAACCTCCTGCATAAGTAATAGTGCAACTGCCAATGACTCCCAGAGTAATGTGTCTCAAGGAGGTGGTGGTGGAGGAGGAGGAGGTGGTGGTGGTGGAGGAGGAGGAAATGTGACAGTTGGACTGGCACCTGGAACAGGACTGCATCCAGCCACACCTCACCCTGCTACTCTAGGTAAAGCTGACCTAGTGCACAGGAAAGTATGTCTTTAAATATGATGCCATCGGGTAGGGAACCTTTCGCATTCCACTTGTTATTGGACTACTACTGTCAGCAGCCCTCTCTGGTAGTCAGGGATGATGGAAGAAGCAATCCCACCAACATTTGAATGTGGAGAGGAATCATTAGGACCATAGGTTGCATGCAGTCTCCTAGGGGCTTTTTCTGATTGCTAGGCCCATTCTGAACCCCCCAAACCCTCCCATTTGCTACCACAAATAAAGAAAAAGGGGATAAAGGGGCCAAAAATGCTATTTACATACCTGGGAACTTCAACAAATGGTGATTTCCCCGTAAAACCAAGTGTGTTCCCCATGTCATCTTTTGCCCACCTGGAGAGAGTTTCACAGAACTGCAGTGGACTTCCTTGGCCTTCTAGTTTTGCACATGGTGATTGATGAGTCTTTTGGTGAGTCTTAGGTACTGAAAATTCATGGATCAAGAGTGTGTAAGCTCCAAAATGGACTTCCTTGGCCTTATAGCTTTGCGCATGGTGATTGATGAGTCTTTTGGTGAGTTTAGGGACTGAAAATTGGCCTCTAGACATTTGGAGCTTACACACTCTTGATCGAGGAACTTACAGATTCCCCACCCTTGCCTTTCTGCTTTTTAGCATACTTTTGGGTGTGAGGTGCAAGGAGGGTTCCCCTGTCCCCCATGCAGTGAGTTCAGTGTGTATATAGAAAACTCAGAAATCCTCTAACAAATTCTTGATATGAATATAGATGAGTACCATTTAACTAACTGCCTTCTTGGGCCATGTCTAAAATACTAACTTGATAGCAAGCATATAATCCTCTTGTCCTCCATTTGCATTTTATGATTCCAGGGAAGGACCTGGGGTGCATGACTGCCACATTATACATTATCATTTAATTTATTTGTGTGGCTGCAAACACATCAACCAGAGAATTTTCTCCACACCATGTCCCAAACTGAACAAAAAAACTGGTAATATGGGAAAACTCTCTGTTGCCTGAATGTCTTGTGTTACTTCTAGAAGACATTTCCCAAATTTGAACTTGAACAAAGACCAGTACAAACAAGTACATGGCAACATGATAGAATTTTCTTTGAAATAGTGCCACGAGGTGCACCAGAGACAATGTGAAGGAGACAGTTATCACCATGTTACAAATGAAATTGAAGGTAGTTCAGACATTTGCCAAGGCTCACCTCCAGCTCATGTCGTCTTGGCAGTCGTACTGGAGGAGGAGATTGCCAGGAAGAGTTACCGTATTTTTCCGTGTATAAAATGACACTTTTTCCTAAAATAATTAGAGGAAAAATTGAGTGTCGTTTTATACACAGAAGGAAGCAATTGCTCGGCCGCCTCTTGCCGCCCTGCTGCCCAGTTGCCTCTTCCAGAGCTCACGGCTTGTCTCCTCCAGTGGCCAAGGCAGCAGCAGCAGGAGATGGAGGTGAAGGAGCATTCACATGCGCTTGGGCGCCAATTGTTGCTGCCTCCCCCACCCGCCCGGTCACCACCTCCAGTGGGACTGACTGGGCTCAGCTCACGTCGCCACCTTGTCCCCTCCGGTGGCGGAGGCAGCAGGAGGCAGAGGCAAACAAGTACTCGCATATACTGGGGCGCCTCTTCCTGCTGCCACCGCCGGATCACCTCCTCCAGCGATCGTCTCCTTAGGGCAGGGGACAAGGCCGCGACATGAGCTGGAGGTGAGCCTTGGCAGTCGTACTGGAGGAGGAGATCGGGTGGGCAGCGGAGGCAGTAGCTGCAAGAGACGGAGGTGGAGGAGCAGTTGCCCATTAACTGCTCCTCCACCTCCATTAAGGGTCAAAATTAGGGGTTTGTTTTATACATTGGGGGGGTCATATACATGGAAAAATACAGTATATGTCAAAAGCACAAACTATATTCTGAAGTATATGAGAAAAGTGTACTTAACCTTTGCTTTTGTGGCCATATATATTTCATTTTAGGCACCAGCCATAGCGCTCATTCTGTGCAGTCCAGCCTTGTCAGACATTCCCCTGCTCGTGCCTCAGTGGCCAGCCAGTCATCCTATTGCTACAGCAGTCGTCATTCATCCCTCCGCACGTCTGCTACCGGCTTTGTGCCTTGCCGACGCTCTTCCACCAGCCAGCTCTCCCTGCGTAACCTCCCATCCTCCATCCAGTCACGTCTGTCCATGGTGAACCAAATGGAACCTGCTAGCCAGACGGGTGTTGTCAGCGCACAGCATGGCCTACCCTCTTCAAGCAGCTCCAGCCAAAGCATCCCAGCCTGCAAACAGCATGCCCTTGTTGGCTTTCTAGGGACAGATGGAGTGAATAATGTTACCGATACACAGCTGGGTGCAAATGTGAGCCCTGTAAGCCAGACACAAACCAAAAGGGATGATGTTGTATACAGAATCCAGGTGAATTAACCAGAAAAATTGATTTGATTTTTTTTCCTGTCTGCCTTTCTCTTTGATACCAGGTTTTGTTTCTAGCTGGTGATCTGTTCTCTGTCAGTTCTAATGCACTATGATAAAGCAAAGTTGTGGCTGTTGTAAAATATTTGTGGAGGTAAATAGACCTTTTGGGACTGACAATTTCCTACTTAATATGTAGATAATAAATAATGAATAAAGGAAGTCGAGTAATTATGGTGGCAGATCATCTTTCCCTAACCCTCAAGTTGGATAATGAGTAATTTTGAAACCGCTTGGAAAATTATGGTGGCAGGTCATCTTTCCCTAACCCTCAAGTTGGATAATAAATTTATATTTAAGTCATAGTTAGCTGCCTCTAGCATATAAATGACTGTTGCAGTGAGTAATGAAAAAATACAGACTTGCACACACAGACAGTAACATTTATGCTTATAGACAAAGGGGCCTGGAATTTGGAATCCAAGGAAAGTGTGTATAAAGGGAAATACAAAGTTCCTCTTCTGTTTTCTGAAGTGCAATCTCAGGAGAAGAGTACAGTATAGGTGGGGGAAAGTGGTGGAGGAAAGTGGCTAGGGCACTAGTGCTTCTCTAGAGATTATTGAACTGTATCCAGTTGTACCTCACCATCCTATCTAGGTAGGAGGAGAGTTAGGAACTGGCAACATATGCAAATACTCCACTTCTCTTTTAGATGGATTGTTTTGCAATAATGTATGCTCTCTCTGTTCTAGATAATGGATCCCAGCCAGGTACTGGAAGGGATCAACGTGTCCAAAAGAAAGGAGCTGCAGTGGCCAGATGAGAATATAAGGTTAAAAGCTGGGAGAAACAGCTGGAAAGACTGGAGTCCTCAGGAAGGCATGGAAGGCCATGTAAGTTCCACTTTGAAGAGTAGCACATTTGTTCTAAACATGTTGAATGTACAACACAGTACCATGTGTTTGTGTTAAAGAATAAATCTGAGCTCTAAAAAAAGACTAATTGGGCAGTTATCAATATTTGAATTTAGACCTAACAAAAGAAATAAATGTAATTCACAGTCTGTAATTGATGGTAAATATGGGCGGGGGATATTCAAACTTTGTTTCTACACTTGAGGAGGGGTATGAAGCTGCATCAGGCATTGCAGTGCTAACCAGTGAGTTTTCCCTAAACTCCCATTTATCTGGTTTCTTGACATACTTTCAAGCTGAATCTTACATATATAAGCTCTAAAACTGCCATATCATAATTAAAATACAGAAAGAAAGTTTGACATCTAGTATAAGCATAGAAGGCATACAGTTTACACTCTCCAGGTGTTGCTAGAGTTCATTAGGTGTGGGAGTTTTGGATTTTTAGTTTTCACTAGAGCTCCCAGAACTCACGAAGAACTCCCTCAGCCAAAATTCTGCTAGCAGTAGCCAAAAAAAAATCAGATGTTTCATACACCTGTGGCCTGATAAGTCCCTCTCTGCAGTGATGGTGATTAGCCTGAACAGGAGGAAAGTAGGGAGGACTGGCTGAACTGCAAGGAATTAGGGGACTGATAGTCTGCTCATTAGGTGCTGTAGTGTACAGCATGCCTCTCAAAACTGCTACCAGTCACATAATTTCTTGCAGCTCCCACCCACTTTCTTCCTCTTCAGGCTAATGGCTGTCACTGCAGAAAAGGACTTGCTGGGCCACAGGTATGTATTGAAACTTCTCCCAGGACTTCTTGTTTTGTTTTGGCTATGGACAGCCAAATTCTGACTAAGGGAATTCCTGGTGAATTCTAGGATATGTAGTAAAAACAACCCAAAAATCCTATGCCTCATTCTCTCCCCTCAACCTTCACCACTGGCTGCGTTGCCTTGGGCTGGTGAGGACTGCAGTTCGACAGTATCTGGAAGGTCACAACTTCCCCACTCCATCCTAAATAGAAAAAGAGGACCCAGTCATCTAGTTGGAAGTGTCATCTTTTCATAAAATAGTGCAGAATTTCAGAATGATGAAAATTATATCTCTTTGTTCTCTTATTTGCTTCACTGCCTACTAGGTGATTCACCGTTGGGTGCCTTGCAGCAGAGATCCAGGAAGTCGATCTCACATAGACAAAACCATCTTGCTAGTCCAGATTGAAGACAAATATGTTGCTGTGATTGAAACTGGAGTCCTAGAACTTGGGGCTGAAGTATGACCTATTTCGGGTGGAGAACTTCTTGATGGCCCTCTCCAAAAAAGTTTAGAAATGAAGTGGGAACCCAAGAAAAGGCTCTCAAGTAATAGGAAAAGACTTGAAAACCAAGTGGGTTGCTGTGTCCACATCTGATTCCTCCCAAAAATAAAGGGGGAGGGATGCTTTTTTAGTATTTTTTTAAGTTAGCTGCTGAGGAAAATGTTGTGCATGAAGGGTAAACATATTTTATCTTTTGTTTTATACTTTATTTTATGCATTGCAATGCTTTAAAAGAACCCCACATATTCCCATCTTAAAATAGGAACATCTTTTTTTTTCTAATTGTTTTGCCAAAAATGGCTGTGTTGACAAAATAATGTGGATTCTGTTTTTTTTTAAGCACCTTGAGTAACATACAGATTTTGAGTTCGGTGCAAAACAGAATTGAGAATTTATTCATGGCAAGGGTGACCAGACAGATTCTTATTCTTTGTGGATGAAAAATTTCAATGAAAAAAATGCACTAATATTTTTTTTATGGCAATGCACTAAAAAAATCTGAGATTGCTCAGACCATTTATTTATATATATATTATATGTATATAAATATATAAACAGAAGAAAATACAGTTATTTAAATTGCCTTTGGGATTAACCCCCTTCAGCTCCATGTTCATATTGTTGATAGGAACTGTGCCATTGATTCGTTTTTGGTTCATTATATTAGATTCACAGTGTATTCATACTATCCTATTCCCAATAAAGGTTGGAGCATCAATAACTATAGAATAAAACACCAGACCTTCCTGCTCTTGGTGAAATCAGCTGATGCTGCAGATTTGCAGCCATTTCACTTTTTTATGTAGACCCAATCACACAATTGTGCATTTTCTTCCTCTCCACCGGGTTGCTTTCCAACTTAGAACCAGCTAAACTAGACTATCAACATCTTTTGGAAGAAGCTTGCTCCTTAGAGAGAAACTGGGTGAGATCCAAAATTTTTAAGTGGAATTGTGACTTTCATTGTGTGTTGGGACTTCTTCCTTATATTCAGTCAGGTGAAACAACTTGACTTTTTTTCTTTAAATTAAAGGACAATAGAAGAGGCTGACTGTCATATTACTTGTACCATTTCGCCTTTTTCTCTCCCTTTAGTCTTTATTATCCTTTTCTGTGACTTGAATTTTATTTTCAGTGATTATATATTATATAATAACTGTACTTTTGAGTATAACTGTGAAACTGATTTATGTTGCATATCTTAGGTTTTACTGTGTTTGCATTTTTTTTAAGTGTGTGTTTTCAGGGAAACAAGATACTCAAACAGCATTGGGGTGAAGAGAGGAAGCGGCCGCTTCTTAACTTACCACTTTGATGACTTGCAGCTTTCAAGAAAAGTTGTCTATGTTGTGGTGGCTTCTTGTGTGTGATCTGGAACTCTATGAGGCTCAATAGGAAGCTTAACACAGTCTGCAACTGTAGCTTTTAGAAGCAGCCATCTTCTCTTCTGTTTAAATTTTCCAATGTTAAAACGATTCATGGGTGATTTCACAAGGGAGGGACTTGAGCAAAAATCAATATCATTTGCATACCTAAGTAAAGAATGGAAGTCTTTGTGATCAGAGAATATTTGAGGTAAATGGCCTAACACAGGTAGTCCAATGTCCAAAAAAAAGGATGCTATTCTATGTAAACTGTCAAGTTGAACTTTTATTTCGTAGTGTTGTGGATTTCACTGCTGCAGATAAGCTCTTGTTATGTGCGTGATATCCAGACTCAGTTTCAAAGAAACATACACACACAAATGTGAGGAAACACTTGAAAATATTGTTCATTTTTTTCTAGATACATGAATTATCGCAGGAATGTCAGGATGTCTTCAGTTTAGTACCAGACTCTCTTGGCATTTTCATTACCATGCCAGCATGAGTGAAGCCATCTTCTGTTTTTTGATGGGTCACTTTTTGGCTCCCTTCTCAATTGTATATGTATTTATCACTTCCATCTTGAGTTTCACAAGGATAGTAAAGGAGGGACGACCAACTTTTCAGAAAATCAGTGATTTCTCACACAATTACATCTTTCAGTTACAGTGTCAGCTTGAATTAGGCAAGAGCATAAGTATAATGTGGCCTGTATTAGATTTCTCTGAGAATAAGATCTAGTTTTTTTCATTTTAAACATCTGGTTGAGAATAAATATCCGACAAATCTGTTAATTATATTAGACATTGCTTACCTAATCAGAGACTAAAAGGCTAATTTTAAGCCCCCTAATTTGTTCATATTTGGATATATTTCTAATTTAATTTAGCTGTTAGTGAACATGATTTCACCTACACCAGTATCAGATATACATCTCATCTACCTAGTGATGAATGTGTTGCAAGAAGATACACAATCTGTTTCACCTTCAGATTTCTGAACTTGCCTATGACCCATTAATTTGGAGATCAAATTCTGAGATTCTTGCATTTTAACATACAACCATCTATGTAGTGCATATAAAAGTTTTACACAAAGCTTGTCTACTTTTTCCTCACTGTATTAGGAGAACCTATAAACCAAAAAGATTAAACTTCTCTGTAGCTTTTATTATGTGGAGGTATAAGACGACCCAGTACTTCCATGAATTGATTACCATCCATCCCTTCAGCAAGATGAGCAAAGGTTTCTTGAATTCTAAAAACTTTTCAAAACATTTTGCTATTCATTATGAACTATTTTATGTGGATACTAGTCCACTTATATAAAGTTTTCTCTGCTTAAGACAAACTTTGGTAATTTACATCCAGGAACTGTTTATGCAGATTCATTTTTCTATACTTAATATTTATGTATCTATGTTTAATAAGCTGACTATACAATGAGGAGTTCATCTTTAAACAGAAAAGCATACTTAAGTTCCCCAGTTTATGATCCTGGGAACTTAAAGCAAGAACTTTCCTTACCTCATTTTGAAAGGCTTTGTTTTTCTTAAAAGGACACAAAAGTCTATAAATACCAAATAGCAGAATCGAATCATGGACTAGAGTCTTTCCTGTGAAATGGGGAGAAATCTTTAGTAGGAAATGAGATGTACTTTTTTTAAATTGTAAGAGTGCACCTGATATTTCTGATTTTAATTCTGTGATGGCTTTACCTCCCAGCTGTGTAGCTGGGGAGCTAACAGTTCACCTATGTGAAAATGTTGAATAGATGTACCTGTGGAATAATACATCAGAGGCCCTTGATAACATTGCTTTTGGACAAACCAATACCAAAACAGGCAGTGAAATTCCTAAGAATAAGAACATATAAATGTTGTTTGGAGTAATTTAATTAAAAGAGAAATTCAGAGTGTGTATAAATGCTTCATATTAGGTATGGGGTTAAGCCACCATGGTATTATATACCTGATTTTATTAAGGGAATTTTTTTTACCTATTATATAGGTTTCTACTTGTCTGGCCTTACTTGGTGTTTGATAATCTGATGCCCCTTCCTCTGTGATGCTAGACAGTGTAAGAAAATATAGCGGTATTTAATACGTGCCTTAGTAAAATTATGGTGGGTACATAACACCTTGGTGGGAGCTACTGCTCTTCAATAGTTTTCACCCATTTTTTAAAAGGCTGTATTTAAGATGGCTGCTCCAAAAGGCTTCAGAGGTGTGATGCACCATTCATAGGCAAGTACTTCTTACAAGTACATACCATTTAGATGTTTCTAGTGTGTATACAGACCACTCAATTAAGTCATTTAGCTTATGACTTTCAGCAGATGGAAATCACAGAATTTGAAGGTTAAATTTGTTTCTTTATGAAACTTAGCCTGACAATGAACTGCGAATAAATAAGTAGAGGGAGGAGAGTAAAAATACAGCAAGTTGGAAAGTGGAATATATGTACCAGCATAACCAGCATATGGAGATCTTGCTAGAACAGGGGTATGTGTACTATGTATGTATGTATGTGAGTGGGTGTGTGTCTGCGTGGGTGTTGTTGGGAACAGCCTGTAAATATTGTAGTTGTTAAAACTGGGGTGGGTGGGGATGAGGGGCTATGTTTGCAACATGTTGCATTGAAGAAGACAGTATTGATAATACACAAATTGATAGTGAAGAACAGTGAAATTAAAAAAAATCATTTTCTTCCTGTGTCCCTTAGTTTTGCTTTTAATTTCTCTTGTCTTTAATTAATACACACACACACACACACATACACACAGTGTTTCACACATCTCTTAACAAGGACGGATGATACATAAAAAGGATCCTGATGACACTGCTTCCATTCATTTCCTTAAAAGTCATACACTTAAGAAGCTGTTTTCCATGTTCGTCCCCCAAAAGAAAAAAAATGTTGGTTTGACTCAAGGAGTTATGGTTGAAGCTATATCCTAAAAACAATGAAATTCACAGACTGTAGATCAACTCATGTCTTTACTGACAACAGTAAAGATTGATACACCCTTCTTGTACCTTAATGTCTACCCCAAGTAAACTTGATACCTTCCAATCTTCAATTCTCTAAAAAAGAAAAAAACTGCTTACTTAAAACTAAGCCCACTAAACACAATGAAATTTTCTTTCCCAAATACTTGGACAGGAGAAGTAAAGACAGTGTTCACTATGGATGGGTAGCTTCAACCATAACTTTTCCTTAAATGAAAAGGCATTAGAATTTCCCTAGTTGTTAAAGCATAGGAACTCATAAGATGTCCATGCTAGGAAAAGAAAGCTGGTCATGAATTACAATAACTCAAAATTCTAGAACATCACAGGATTCAGATCTAGGAGGACAGCATCAGTGAATAAGAGTCCTATTATTCTGGCCATCCCATCCCACTGCTTTGTTTTTATGGGGAAGAGAACATGGAAATCACTGTGTAAGGACCAGCAGTTTGTTAGTATATTAAATTACCTATCTATGTAGTCACTAACATCCTCTAATGTTGCCTTCCACTAAAAGATATTATGTCTAGGTCTGTTTTAACCAATAGTGTGGTTCATTGTTGTTATGTGTCGTCATGTAGCCTCTAACCTATGAATGAGTGATCTCCAGAATGTCCTGTCCTCAACATGTTATACTCAGCTCTTGCAAAATCAAGCCTGTGACTTCCTTTATGAAATCAGTAAAGACACTATGCCACTATAGCATTTTGGTCCATAATCAGCTCTGATAGTTCACCCTCTGGTTTTTATTACCAGAGTTTTTTTCTGGTGGAAATGCTGGCGTAATAAAGAGCTAAAACTGGATAATAAATATAGTTCTACTTAGCTATTATAAAAGGCACATAAGCTATATTTTTTATACCCAGAGCCTTCTTAAATTAACCAAGCAATGGCTCTTCAGAATATCAGACAGAACTTTTCTAGCAGCTGCAACAGAAGAACCTTGAAGCAGTGATGTTGAGGAGTCACACTGGAATCCTCTGCATGCAACATCATGTAATGTGGCAATGAGTCAGTAGACTCCAAAGTACAGTATCTAAAAGGGACTAACTGTTCTTTATCTCAGTAATGGTAATAGGTACTCAGTATGGGTAAGCTAACACTATAACTGTGTGCTGAATAATGGCTTGGCTATAGCCATCCGGTAAAGTTGTGGGCAAGATTTAAGATTTGAGCTAGGGATTTGCTAACTAGCTCTAAAATACAAATCGGATTCTCACAGTCCAGATGTATCACAGACATATATTTTTTAATGGGCATTCTGTAAATTAGACGGATTTTAAAGATAATATGTGCTGCTGATGCAAAATGTGGGTGCTCAGCCTACTGACAAAAACTGCCAAGAATGTCACACAGTTACTTGTGGATTCTGCATTCATCTTCAATTTGCACCTTTGGACACTGGTTTGTTCATTGGAAATGGCATGCTGTTTTGTCTGTTGGTACCAATGACCTCAAAACAGTGGTGCATTCCTACGTGTAGAATGAAAAAGCTACTGCTACAAACTGAAAAGAAAAGAATTATAATCACTGTAATGGTTCAGCAACATTTACATAAAGGGCTGGGAGCTGTGTGCTCTATATGTTGCTAGATTCCAACTTCCTTCTTCCATTTCCAAAATAGCAAGTCTTCAGGAATGATATAATATATAATTCAACAACTGGTATGGACCAGTTCTGCCTTACATTTTGTGGAGCAATTCAAGAGTACTGGGTGCACAGAAAATTCTTATATGCTCCTTTGGTGTGACTCTTAACAGTTTCATATTTTTCATGTTTCTGATACCCCGAAAGCCCCAAGAAACCCTTAAAAACTACTCCAAGAAAATAGTGGCAAGACAGCAAGAAATCACTCCACTACAAAAGCAGGCAAGATTACATGAGAAAGAAAAATCATTTTAAAAGCCCGCTAAAATATGCTCCTTTGACCAAAAGGGGAGAGCACATGTGTGTGTCCCTCTCTCTATGGCCAAAAAAAAAAAAAAAAAAAGCCACATTCCCCCTTCCCCAAACCAAGAAAAGCAAGCAAAAAAAATATAATAAGAAACCCTTTCTCAAACCAAAATGACTAAAATATGAGGAGATTTCTCTGCCACATGCAACTAGATGTCTTCTCTGAATTCTCCAGCAGACTCACCAGGCCCAGCGGCAACAGTATTTAAAATACTGTAAACCCAAGGAGGCATGCTTGCACTACTTGGCTGCCTAACTGCAGCAAAAATAATCCAAAGAGACCCCTCCCCATCCAGAAAAACCCGTCCTCCTGGATGTTCTGATTGGTTGCTGACAACCTTTGTTCGTCACACCAGCGTATCTTTGCAATAGTTCCTGTAATGCTTTCAGATGAAAAAATTATCAGGTCATTTGATATACTGTACAAAGAATGCAAGAAAGGTTTCCTTTTCTGATAGGCAGCTAGACCCAAGCTTAGCCTCTCTGTGGCTATGAATCCTTCCAGCTTAGCCTTTATCCAGATGAGCACAGTTTATGTGTCAGTCTGGCAGGTAGAACTCCGAGAATGGAAAATTCTGGGATTTGGAAAAAAAAACCCACCTCATCGGAAAAAAAAAACACTTGGCTAGATTTTATGCTACAAAAAAGATACTGTAGAATTGCAAAAATGCAACCAAAATGAATGAGGGGCTGGAGCAGCTCTTTCATATGGAAA